TGGCACAAAAAGGCTGCTATGTTGTTGATTCCATTTTCAAAGTTTTTGAACATATCTTGTAATGTTGTTTAATTGAATGAGGACAGGACTGAAGAGTTTGTCTCTTTAATGGGAAACAGGAAGCATCAATCACTGGATACGTAAAACTACTGTTATTTCTAACTTTTTCTCCTTTTTATATGTTTAAATGCTTCATCATACGAATGACTCATTTCGGTCCAGTGGCATTGAATTCTGAGTTAAAACTGTTTACTTTCGGTGGATTGCACGTTTGAACTCCACGAAATTTCTTTTTCTTTTCTTCCAATTAACCCTTAAATAATTACAAATTGTTCAAAAAAAAAAAAATGCTTCATCATACATAGTTTCTTAAACAAAATTTCTAAAACTCCAGTTTTTATCTTGGCACATAAAAACTGTCATATTCTTGATGCCATTCTCAAATTTTTTGGACAGATCTTGTAATGTTAGTTAATTGAGGACTGAAGAGTTTGTCTCTTTAGTGGGAAACTGCAAGAACTAGGGAAACATAAGCTACTGTTCATTATATAATTTCCTTTCGTTATTATAAAACTACCGTTCTACCATTTCCTCATTTTTATACGCTTAAATAAACTTTCAATTGCTAAGGAAAAACACCAGCAGGAAAGTAAAGAGGTTCCAAAAAAAAAAGTTATAAATAAGAATACGAATTTTGTCCTTTTTTTTTTTTAAAATATACAAATTTTTTGAGTTTCTAAATTAACTTGTAAACTTTTATTTTTAATTTAAATAAAGATACAAACTTCATTTTTTTTTTTTAAATCAAAACACAAATGGTGTCTTATTTCTATTTAAGAATGGGAATGATGACATGTAAATGGCAATTTTAATTCAAATAAAAAAAAATAGGAAACTTATTCCGAATATGATTTGGAAGGAGAGCAAAGGGGGTAACTTCATATTTATTTAGCCTCACTGATTTCGCTTTTGAGATAGTAGTTCTACTCCTATTGGGATTACTAACCCCACGCTCTCCCCCTATATATTACAACAAAGCAACTTTGAGTCTCTAATTGATTTGCTCTCTTCTCTTCTCTTCTCTTCTCCTGCGCCACAGTATGGAGGATGATCGCAACTTTGTTTCTCTGCCACCGTCTCCTTCCTTGGCCTTCATTCATGGCAATGATAATGAGATTTTGACCTTATGCCCAATATCCAAAGGTGGAGATCCCGTTGAGAAAAACACACCTCATGACCTGCTCAACAAAGGCATAGGGGATTGCTTCTATGGTTGGCTAGTCGTGTGGGATGAAGAAGGGATTCGCTACTCTCTCTGGAGTCCTGCTCAGACCATACACTTACCTGCTCTGACTTTAAAGCCTGAACAAGAAATTGATCACAAAATATTGACTTCGCCTCCAGGAAATCCAGATAGTATGCTAATACTATTTGAGACAACAGGCCCATCCTTTATCTATTGTAATGTTGGCGATGACCAGCAGTGGAAGGAGCAGGGCGTCTCTCCTGAGTTTATGGGGCATTATTTTTTCAATCCCATCATCTGTAATGGAAAGATATATTGTGAAGTTTTTCAAAGGCTGGACCAATTAGGCTTGATTGATATCAAGTCCGATTGCCTGTCCTTTAGTTTAATAGACCCCGGTTTTGTCAATGTTCCTTGGGAATTTCGGAGAACATACATGGTGGAATCCTGCGGGGAGATATTTAATATTTATTTGCTGCTTAATGGGTATCTTAATATAGGATGTGCATCGGAGGAAGTAATTGGTGTGCATGTTTATAAATTGGATTTATCCCGAAAGGAATGGGAGAGGGTACACAGTTTCAAGGACAGAGCATTCTTTCTAGGAACTTCTACTTGTTCCAAGTTTTCTTGGCCTGCAACTCAACCAGGAATCAAAGGCAATCATGTTTATTTTCAATTACGCTGTGATGTTAGCCTATATTCTTACAACATGGAAGATGGGACTATTTTGTCTTCTATACCTTGTCCGAATTTATTACCAGAACAATGCAGTGCATCTTTCTGGGTCATGTCAGACTTGAGGTAAATTATTTTCTTTTTTCAGTGCAAAGATTAGTATTTTCACAAGAATTCTCTTTTTCGTTGTTGCATATTGTTATATACATTAAACTTGTTTTAATTTTCTGCAGGTTAATGAAGGATGCAGAAGATGAGATGAACTCCAACTCAGATGATACAGGAAGGGAGATAAAGTCCAACAGTAGAGAAATTGTGAAGCATTCAGCAGTTGAGGAAGGAGCGTTTGGCAGGCTTCTTCCTTCAGAGATTCTAGCTCAGATTGCAAGATTCCTAATTAGATTAGAAGACTATATGAGTTTTCGGAGTATCAACACTACGTTCCAATTGGCAGCCCCTCTAACCGAGTGGAGGAGAGATTTTTCTCTTCCTTGGCTCATGTTTAGGGGAGTAGGTGACAGAATTTGGAATTTCGTTGATCTGCTAGTTGAGGAAAGATATATCATGGCTCATCCTAATAACAAATTCGAAGACGCTACTATGTGTTTTTCAAAGGGAGGTTGGTGTGTGATGTTACACGGTGAAGACTCTATCTTCCTTTGGAACCCTTTTTCCAAGAAAATCATACCGCTTCCAAATATACAAATTCCAAATTTGCAAACCCACTATATTTGCGATAGGCATTCTGTTATTGGCGGTGGTTTCTCCTCTTCTCCAGACTCTTCAGAATCAGATTGTACAATAGTTTTGCTCTTTAACTTATGGTCCGAATATCGCATTAACTTCATCAATTTAGGTGGTGATGAATGGAAAAGTTATTCGTTCAAGACTAATTTAGAACTCATCACATTGGGTAGAGAGAGTTATCCTGTATTGTACAATGGAGCTTTCTACTTTCTTGATCTGAAGGGGAATTTAGGAGTGTATAGACAAGTAGATGAGGAAGGAGATGAAGATGGAGAAGAAGAAGAAGAAGAGGACAACGAAGAAGAAGAGGAAGAGGACGATCATGAAGTTCTTGATCATGTGGTTCAATGTCCTTGCGAGTCCTTTCACCAAAAGTTTTTAATAGAAAGTGATGGTGAACTTCTCTCAGAAGAGGAAGAAGAAGAAGAAGAAGAAGAAGAGGAAGAGGACGATCATGAAGTTCTTGATCATGTGGTTCAATGCCCTTGCGAGTCCTTTCACCAAAAGTTTTTAATAGAAAGTGATGGTGAACTTCTCTCAGTTTTTGTGGGGATGTTAGGAAAATGGGTCAAAATTTTCAAGTTCAATGAGTCCGAGAGAGTTTGGATTGAAGTTGAAGATCTTGGAAACTACACACTTTATCTCAGTCGTTATTCATCCTTCTCCACCATAGCATCTCCAGGACTGCAAAACAGAATTTTTTTCCCAAGATTCCATGGCAAGAGTAGTGTATATTACTCTCTTGAATCAAAAAAGCTTCATCCTTACGGTACTGAGGACGTCTTGGAGAACTTTTATGGTACAAGAGAACAGGTCTTATGTGCGTGGATTAATCCCCAATTTTAAAA